ACACACACACATGCTCTCAGAAGCAGAAGGAGGCAGTCCAAGCCTCCTCCAACATACACACACTAATTGCTGAGGTGAAAGAGCTACAAAGAAGCAGCCTCGTCGCCACCTACAGTGAGAAATTTGAATTTCCCGCCTTTTCCCCCTGCCTTTTTCTGTTCGTAAGTGGAAGCTCCGGTCATAAGTAGAAGCAAAATTTTGCAACCAGAGCTGGTCGTAACTCGAAACGGTCATAAGTAGGGATGTTCATAAGCCGAGGCACCACTGTATGTCTCTATCTGGATAGCTTTATCCTGAGCTCTTTATAATGGATATTTCTTCATAGTTTACAGTCATAGGTGAAGAGGGAGAACATTGTTGCATTGACTATACTGTATAATGCAACATAAACATAAAGATGCAATTTGGTATGACTTTCCTGGGTAGTGAATTTGTCAGGTATCTGGTAAAGGTGCCAAGGTTTTGGTGGTTTCTTTGTAACTTAAGTCACTGTTTCTATTTAGATATAATGGTAAGTCAAAATTGATGAGAATTCTAGCTTATTTTTCAGGTGTACTTCCCATTATGTCTGAATGCAGACTTCCATTTCCTTTCTTCCCTGACAAATCAGACTCCGAGATCAGGGATGGAAGTTGGCTTCCCATTCTGAGAAATGGAGCTGTGAGAAATTGGAAATGGGTATCTGAAAAATTAGGTAATCTTTGGTGAGGAAGAATGTTTCTTAGGGACCAGCATCCTCCTCATCAAAAATCATTGTGGCTACTATGTTGGAGTAATCTTTCTTACAGAGAGGTTTGACACTGGAAGTTATGGTAGGTGTGGTAACAGATCGTGAAATATCAGAATGATGTGTTGGATCAGTTTAGACTGGGTTCCTCAAAGGACTCTTGTTTTTTCTGTTGTTCGTGTGAAGAACTCTTTTGTGCTAGTATGATTGAAAAGTGATATGGAAAGGGCCAGCAGCAGATACTCTGTGCTCTAGTGCAGTGATCCCCAGCCTTGGGCCTCCAGATGTTCTTGGTCTTCAACTCCCAGAAATCGTGGCTAGCAGAGGTGGTGGTGAAGGCTTCTGGGAGTTGTAGTCCAAGAACATCTGGAGACCCAAAGTTGGGGACCACTGTTCTAGTGGATACAATGACAAACATCTGGGTTTTAATCCCTGCTTGGCTACGGAAACTCATGTATTTGTGTCTGGTGGAACTGGTAAAACCACTCCTTGAATTGTATTTATTTACCTTAAAAGCCCTGTTAGGGCCACTATAATCAGTTCTGACTTGACAGCACATAGTGCACATAACATGTTCTTGATTTAAACAAACCTTTTAAAGAAGTGGAGCTTTCAGAACCTGAAACACTTCCCACTTTATAGAAAATTTGAACCAAATTCTCTCATTTACTGTCCAAAACAGTGTTAAAAACCTCAGCTGATAGTGGTACTGGAAGAACTATTAATCCAAAATGAGTA